AGCTAAGCTCTCCAGGACTCAGGGAGCAATGGCAGGCCCAGCTAAGCTCTCCCGGACTCAGGGAGCAATGGCAGGCCCAGCTAAGCTCTCCAGGAGTTCTGATTAAACGCAGGCTGACTGAAAGGCCTATGAAATAATAACTCCTCACGTGCTGGTGGTCAGCCACGATCAGCAACCACAAGTATTATATTATTTAGAAGGAATGTATCTTCCAGGACATAGACTTGTTCTCAATGAACAATTTTCTTCCAGAAGTGCAAGCATCCTGCTACTTCCTCTCTCTAAATAAATGAATTTGGTTCTATGACAGTTTGCTCCTAAAGATGGAAAACACAGCTCAAGAAAGAAAAGAAAAAAAAAAAAATCAGCAACATTACTTGTATAGGCTGCGATACTTTAAAAAAAAAAAAGTAACCTTCCTACATCATAAAACCTCCCTAAAATATACACAATTCAGTTGCACATATGGTGGTATGTATCACACACCCTGAACTAAAAGGTAGCCATGAGGGTCAAGAAATTCAGAATTTCTGGTAGCCACAGACAGTAACAGTTGCTCTAATTAGAAACTACAGAAAAAATATAAAATAAACAGTATGCTCTTAGTCTTACAATCTTTTTAAGGAACTCAACATGCAAGTCACCAAAATAATTCCTAATTTTAGAAAATAAATGATAATTTAAGAATCAATATTCCACGATAATTTTTAATAACAATTTATTTCCCTTTTAAAAAAATCAAATGTTTTTCTCGTAATATATTATTTTACAACAACAAAGAAAAAGAAAGAGGGAAGGAAAGAAAGACCTAAAGAGAAAGAAATCACCAGATTTTAGCTCAAAGAGTAGAGCCTGGGATGAATTTTTTAAGATTTGTTTGTCAATTTCACAAACTCAGCAGTGGAATAAAAAGCTTAATACAGGTATGCAAAAAAGGAAGCCCTCCAGATGTTTTCACCAGGATGAAATGGGATTAGCTTTGTAGTTCTTATAATCTTCTTCACAGAAGAATGCAATTTCAGTTTCACTGGCTGAAAAAAAACAGAAAATAGAAAACAAGATTTCAATGTAAATCTATATTTTAAACAAGTATGGAAATCCATATGACTTTGATTTGGTATTTTAGAATAGCTTCAGATGCCTAAAGTGAAAAAGATGAGTTATTTGTTGGGTTGCACAATGAATTTTACCAAATCAGCAGGAAGTTTCAGGTGAAGTTTTAAGAATTGAAAGCTCAAATGATTTAAAAGTAAAAAAAAAAAACAAAAAAAAATCCCAAAAATTAAAATCAAGAGTTAATGCAAGAATCTGGTTTTCAGGAAATCATAAAATTGCTCATCTGTAGTACTCTTTACAGTACTAGGAAATAAAAAACCTTGATTTTTTCTCAAATATGCTACTCAGGTACTGAAGGAAGGGGAGGGAAAACTCTTTTTCCCCCCTGAAATTAGCCTGTAGGTATAATAATTTAATACTTAGAGGATCAGTAGAATATTTTACAGATCACTTTACATTCTCCCTCATGACCCATCAAAATATGTGTCTGAAGAAGTTAATTTTTTGCCCTGCTTATGATTAATTCATGCGGCTTCAACAATATGCAAAGTGAAAGACACAAATTGGCTGCTACCTCAATACCTTCAAATACCTCTAATTATTCACAGGGGAGATGGCACCGCTAAAGGACCCATGAAGGTTCAGAGCAGTCACAATTCTTTCAACCTAGCAGGTCAAGGACTGCGTCTTCTAAAACAGTAAGTCAGCAACATTATTAATTCAGGCTAGAGACAAATCTGATGGAAAGCCTTCCAATTATTAAACATGCAATTCTTTAAGGTGTTGTGCCAACAAGTTCCACATTCGTTTTTTAAATTAAACCAGAAGTTAATACAGTCTGCTTGGCTTTTACAGAAAGAGCAAAAGGGCCTTCAGAATCTCCACAAGAAAACAGTCAAGATTATTCGTAATGAATACTGAGTACTCAATTAACATACTCTCTAAAAACAGACAAGTAAAACTCTCCAAGTCAAATAAACAGGATAATAAGAAAGGGTGCCAAGGATTACTACTGGTCTCTTAGTTTACAGCTCTCATCTCATCATTAGACTTTATCACAAAACAATGAAATTAATGAGATTAGCATGCCATTTCATTAAAAATGTTTTTGCTGTTTTCAAGAATATCAAATTTAACGTTTGTTAATCATAAGCTACCCGTGCTCATTACAGAAAATAAACAAGTGTCAAAAGAAGAAAATAAAGCCAGCCATAGTCACAGATCCTCATTCCAGTCCTTACTATATCTTCAAGATTAAATTTAATCTGAGGAGATGAAAATCAGATTGCAGCCTCGCACGACAAGGAGCCTGTGGGGAATACCGCAGAGAGAAACTGGAGATCAATAAGGAGGGGCTGTGAAAAGATGCACCCTGTGCAAACAGTAAGTTAAGGTACAGTTAAATTTTACAAGAAAGTGGCATCTAAAAGAATAGGTAAAAAGACTCCACACTTGGAATCAGTGGGAAAAAGAAAATCAAGAAAGGGAGCTTCAAAAACTTCAATATTCAAAGATATTTGGAAATCTATCCTTTATACAAAAAGCTCCTGGGGTTTCCTTTTTTGAAGGGAAGCATGCCCAGAGGTAGACTTATATAATTTGCAAGTGATTCTAATCAACCTTCTAATGGAAAATGAGCAAAAGACACCCTGTTCTTAATAATCACAGAGCAAGGTTTTATCTGTGATGTGCTATTTACATACAGAACTTTACACAGTGCTTTGCCCACACAGCACTTTGCTCAATCCACACTAACTGTAATTACAATTTTCACTTACTGCAGTTGACATTTATCTGAACCCCTTCTGAGAAACTAATATGTTGTGTGGCTCTTCAGCAATAGTAGGTTCAGAGAAGCTGATGGGAAGCAAGGACTAAGCACTTTTGTTTTGACACATAGGTTCTCCTGGGTCCAGTTAACTTAAACATCAATCCATTATTTACATAGGGCATTTATGCTAACTCTCATAATGTAGACTCCGAATGAGAATCTGCAGTGTAAAGATTTTATTTTCAGATGACTGTACTTTTTTTTCAGGAAATCTAGGTAAACAAATGGGTTAAACTATAATACTTCAGGTTGATTTAAAAATTTTTTCACCCTTAACAAACTGGCAAACACACAAATTAAAATTTACTCTGAACATTCAAAAGTAAAACATTAAATGGGTTTTAAATTTTAGTAATGTGGTCCTTAAGCAGAAGCAGAATATAATGTTTTCTTACATCTGTAAAACTCTGTGGAAAATGTTTGAGAGAACGATTTCAGGGACTTATACTGCAAATTCATTTGCCAATTTACGTGAAAACCAATTATAAATGATTTTTAAGACCTCTACATAATTACTCTTTCCACCATTATCCCTTAAATTCCTGCTTCCCAAATACTATTTAAAATGGCTCCTTTAAAACTGGCTGGGGATGAACCCTCCGGAAGTCTACCTTGTGCTGGTCCCCCAGGGCACCTGATTTTAAATTAAATGTGCTGCAGGCGGCAGTGCAGTCAGGTGCAGAGTGCCTTGGCATGGGAATCTGAAATGAATGTGCAATCTAAAATCCAATAAATACACTGCCACTTCATCCCTTCGTCTTACTATCAAATGAAACAGAGAACCCTCCAAATACATTTGTAGGATCATTTTAATACTGATGTTCAAGTTTAATGAAATAAACACAAGCCAGGGCTTTCAAACTTTGGATATAAAATTAATAATTTTATAATGCTTCCAGACAGACATACACAACTTTAAAAGGAACATAATGATAATGACTTTAAATGAAAGAATATAAGATCAATTTTAAGTGTAAAATCCCAAGAAAAATTAAATGCAATGTTTTTAAACTCTTCAACTAATTTATCTCAATAAACTCATCATCAACAAGGATTTATCCATATGTTCTGAGTCCCTAGCCTTGTGCTAGTCAGCACCAACGTAATATGAGGCGCAGCCCCTGTTGTCTGGAAAAAGGAGCCTGAGACACGCACACTGACTTTGTGGTACAGAAAATCCACGATCAGGGAGGCTGCCTTGTGACAATAACCACAGACTGTTGACCAAAAAAATACATGAAGGGTGAGGTGTGGCTTCTGTGGCAATCTGAGACCAAAAGGACGAAGTTTCCCCCTCTCTCCCACTTGAGGAGTATCACCTATCCTCCCAAATGTCACAAAATCCTCATCTACAAATCATTCAAAGCTGTGCTCGCAGCTGAGTTATATTTCTAAGTTTTCACCACCAACAGAGGTCCCAAGTGCTGTGCCTTTTATTTCGCGGCTTGCTTCAAATATTGTTTTGGATCTGCTGGCAGAGAAGATTTCAAACTAGTTTGAAGAAAACAGCTAGCCAAAAAAAAAAAAAAAAAAAAAAAACCTCAGTCTTTGCTAGACTGGGTACATGCCTGTAATTTCCACCATGGTGTGGGGAGGTAAAAAGGAAAGCACTCCACAGAGGTTCACTCTAAGTCTTGCTTCTGGAATCCCCCAGTTTCCCGAGTCCAACACCCACATTACCGAGTAACCAGACTATCACTGTTTCTATGTAAGAGTGAAAAACGGCCACCATAACATACTGTCGAAGGGAGAAAACACGCATGACCTAAAATATTGCTACCCAGAAGAAGAAAGGGAAGGGGACCCACACCTTAACGACACACAAATCAAACATGATCCTGAAAGAAAAGAGGGAGCCACAGAATTCCACAATATTAGCTGTACAGACAAGATCACCTAAAGGGGCGAGGCGTGAACGACAGGGATCTGGTTGGGGGCAGATGACAGAAGTGACACGCAAAATGAAAACAAACCACGAGGGAGTTTTGGAATTATTACAAGACCTGGCTTGCCGAGAATGCTTCCCTCAGATAAACACTTACAGTTTGGCCACTGTATCTTGTTTTAAAATGTTTCCAATGAAACACAACTGGCTTTGGAAGAGTTACCCAGTCACAATTTCTCTCTTAAACCAGACCAGATTCCAAAGACAACAGTAGTAGAATGTAGCAAAATGAAAGAGAGAAAATAACACTTCCAAAAAAAAAAAAACCCTTACACGTAAATTTATTACTTAGGGGAATTAGTCCATAAAACTACAACTGCTGACAACAAGGTAAAAACAATCTTTAAATTATAAGTAACATTTCTAGGTAAAAGTCTCTTCTTGCTTCTACTGAGCAAATCTCTTTTAAGTACGTGTTTTCTGTACTGAGTCCACAAGCAAAAAAACTTCCACTGACGTCAGGTGTAGAATGTTCCATCGGGATCTGCACTGCAGAGAAAAAGCCAAAGGATGAACTAGAGAATTTCTCCGTGAGAAAAGAAATCTTCAAATATTTTTTTTTCCCTAATTTCCCCACCTGCAGCCTTTCTTTTCTTTTCATGACTACTGCAGAAAAGTCCTAATGATAAATTTGTTACCCTGGTATTATTCCATGGCAACGGGCTGTGGCCGCAGAGTGACAGCTCTACAGCAAGATCAGGTGGTGAAAAGGGAGGCAGAGATGACTTCGAATTTTTCTCTTAAACCTCTTAAAAATCTCATCAAACATGGCACTGAGAGAGGGAAAATTCCCTAGAAAAATCACATATTTCAGGCCGGGCGCAGTGACTCACGCCTGTAATTCCAGCACTTTGGGAGGCCGAGGCGGGCGGATCACTTGAGGTCAGGAGTTCAAGACCAGCCTGGCCAACATGGCGAAACCCCATCCCTAGTAAAAATGCAAAAATTAGATGGGCGTGGTAGTGCATGCCTATAATCCCAGCTACTCAGAGGCTGAGGCAGGAGAATCACTTGAACCTGAGAGGCGGAGGTTGCAGTAAGCCGAGATGGCACCACTGCACTCTAGCCTGGGCGACAGAGTGAGGTCTGTCTTAAAAAAAAAAAAAAAAATCACATTTCAAGTATCATTTTCACAACTCAGTTCTCACTTAGAATTTTTTGTTGCTTTCCAGGTATCCTCATCTCCTTCCCCAGGTATAACCTCAGCTTGTCCCCAAGAGCACAGCAACACCACTCTAGATAACAAAGAGAAAATCGCTCCCTGCAGGGACCCAAATCACCCTGAGCCCAGGGTTGCTGGCTTGCTGGAGTTACGAGGGACGTCTGGAGTCCTCATACCACCCTGAAATGAGTGGAGAATCTGGGAAAAGAATCTGACTCTAATCCAGGACCAATAGCCTTAAAGTAAGAGGACAAAAAGAGGGATTTGCTTCTCACCTTTACAGATGGTTCATTACATAAGTCAGTTTGAAATTAATCACAAGACCAACAACTTAATATTTTAGTAAAGTCAAAACATTTGTCAATTGCCTCCTCCAGGACGGTTTCCAGACAAAGCAGTTGTTCTTGAGGGCCTTTTACACACATCACTCCCGATGCCTTCACTGTTTTACACAACCCTTATGACAACCTTCTAGAATAGGTTTCATTCTTCCTATTTTTACAGAAAACAAAGTAGAGTTTCAGAGACGATAAGTGGCTTACAGAAGGCCAGAAAGCAAGCAAAATGCACAGCCTTCATTCTAACTGACTTTCCCCAACTTCATGGGTTTATACTTTAAAAAAAAAAAAAGGTCCTTTAATTACAAAGGAGAATATCAATTACCGGCAATGCCACCACCTCAAGAAACCATTTCTATAATTTTGGCATATGATCTTTTCTCCATATACACATAAACAATAATCTTACATGTATATTTTAAACATTTTAAAACAATAATGGGGTCGGGCACAGTGGCTCACACCTGTAATCCCAGCACTTTGGGAGGCCAAGGCAGGTGGATCACCTGAGGTCAGGAGTTCGAGACCAGCCTGGCCAATATGGCGAAACCCTGTCTCTACTAAAAAATACAAAAATTAGCTGGGCGTGGTGGTACACACCTGTAATCCCAGCTACTCAGGAAGCTGAGGCAGGAGAATTGCTCGAACCCAGGAGGTGGAGGCTGCAGTGAGTCAAGATTGTGCCACCGTACTCCAGCCTGGGTGACAGAGTGAGACTCTGCTCTCAAAACAAAAACAAAAACAAAAACAAAAACAAAACCATAATGGTACCACACAGCATGTTCTATTTCTATTCAATAAATCAAGCTCTACATCAGTGCTTCACGTACAAGGGAAGGTCAGGTCTAACCCCACCACCCCCTTGAAGACCTATCACAACCTCACGGCTTGTCCCTGTTGGCTTAGAAACAAGTATCACTATGTAATCCCAGCTACCTGGGAGTCTGAGGCAGTAGGTTTGCTTGAACCCGGGAGGCAGAGGTTGCAATGAGCTGAGATTGTGCTACTGCACTCCAGCCTGGGCAACAAAGTGAGCCTCTGTCTCAAACAAACAAACAAAACATTAATTTGAAGACATCTGAGAGGGAGGGAATAGTTTACCATCTTTCAAAACCTGTTTGGGATGAACTGACCCTTGGCTCAAATTTTGTATTATCTCTTGACTAATTCATCTTGGTCTGCAGTCAGTGGACCCGTTGTTTCTCCCAGTATTTCAGTCTATGTTTCTTTAAGTACTGAAAGAAATAAACTTTAAATATTCAAAACAAACAAACAAAAAGAAACAAGTATCACTGAAATTCAAACTTGGGAAAGTCTTATTGGTCAAACTGACCCACAGAAAGTTCGAGGTCATATTCATTCCTGACGGTGGTATAAGACTCTCCATTTTCCCTACACCTTGAACTCCCTTGGACAATGCCACTTTTTTCATGTCTGCGAATCTTATAACAACTGTTGCTGTCCAAGGTCACCTAGACAGTGAAAGACGGAATCAGGATTTGGACCCAAGTACTCTGGCTCTAGACTCTAATTTTTATTTTTATAGAGATGAGGTCTCACTATGTTGTGCAGGCTAATCTAGAGCTCCTGGCCTCAAGCGACCCACTAGCCTGGCATCCCAAACTGCTAGGATTACAGGCGTGAGCCATGGCACCCAGCCCCAGACTAAAGTCTTAACACTGGACTCTATTACATAAAACAGTATCTATGTACTCATTTCTAGTAAGTCCTCATTCTCTCCTAATGAGAAGGAGCTATTTGTTATATGTGAGTTATTTCTTCTATCAGTAGAATTTCTCTTTTTCACAGTAATTACAAGGGTTCTTTATAAAGGCAGGCTAATAACGTCTTCTTTTCTTATTTTTTTATTTTTTATTTTTTATTTTTTTGAGACAGAGTCTCACTCTGTTGCCCAGGCTGGAGTGCTGTGCTGGAGTGCAGTGGCATAATCTCAGCTCACTGCACCCTCTACCTTCCAGGTGCAAACCATTCTCCCGCCTCAGCCTCCCAAGTGGCTATGATTACAGGCGTGTGCCACCATGCCTGACTAATTTTTGTATTTTTAGTGAAGATGGGGTTTCACCACGTTGGCCAAGCTGGTCTCGAATTCCTGACCTCAAGTGATCCTCCCGCATTAGCCTCCCAAAATGCTGGGATTAGAGGTATGAGTCACCACGCCCGACCCCAGGCTAACAACTTTTTTATCTGTTGTATATGCTGCAAATATTTTTCAAAGTTTCTCCTTTAACTCTGTTTACAGTTTTTAGTTTTTACGTAGTCAAATCTATCACTTATCCCCCTTTATGGCTTCTGTCTTTGAGCTCATGCTTGGAAAGCTCTTCTCCTTCCCAAGATTATGAAATTATTGAACTACACTTTCTTTTTTAAAAATTTTTTTACATTATAACATTTAACCCATCTAGAATTTATTTTGTAATAAATACAGAGATGAGATAAGAGTTTGAATTTTATTTTCCTGAATGCTTTGGCAATGGGCTTCACATAATTTTCTGGCTAAATCATTATTTCCTCACTTCTTTGAAATGTCAACTTTATCATCCTGTGAAATATTACCTTTTTTTTAGTTTTTGGATTTTCCAGTGTTTTCCATGGAGCTCTCTGTCAATACCCCCATCAATGTCAGTCTGTAATATTCATTATGCTTCATGCTTTAACAACAAACAGGGCTACCTTCTAGGTGCTACATGCCCCAATCACAAAGGTGCCACCTGCTACAATAATATAATAGCATTTAAAGAAACAAATGCCAAATTTAAAATCACTCTTCAAAATAACAACCTTACATATTCATAACATGGAAAGACAAGAATATTATAGCAAATATTGTAGATGACAACAGAGAAATCAAGTCTAAGATTTCACAACATGCTATTTAAGATCCTGTTTAACTCAGATCTATGTCAGGAATTCATGCTAGTCACATGAATCAATCAGAAGTAAATTCCTGATATATGTGATTAAAGTAACTAAAAATAATACTCATTTAAAAAAAAAAAAATCCAGGCTCCCAATGTGCACCTTACTAAACGTGTTCCTTAACAAGTGCATATAAATAATTATGAACAATGTGAGGCTGAGGCAGACAGATCGCCTGAGGTTAGAAATTCGAGACCAGTCTGGCCAATATAGTGAAACCATGTCTCCACTAAAAAAATACAAAAATTAGCCAAGCGTGGTGGTGCGGACCTGTGGTCTCAGCTACTCAGGAAGTTGAGGCAGGACAATTGCTTGAACCCGGGAAATGGAGGTTGCAGTAAGCCAAGATCGGACCACTACACTCCAGCCTGGGCGACACAGTGAGACTCTGTCTCAAAAAATAAATTAATTAATAAATAATTAAGAAGAAGCATGGCTTGTGACACTGCATCAGTCACCAACCGCAGAGGTGTATCAGGGGCACACTGCCTTTAACCACTCAGACCTCCCTGACAATCTCCACTTCCCCTCCTGCCAGATCAGCTTTAGGTGTACATATACGTAGAATAACAGTGACATCTAATGGTCACAAAATATGTCACATAACATTTATTTAGAATAAAACCACATGCACATTCTAGGCTGGAAGGCCCAATCAGGTACTTTTCAGCTGCACACACCAGGCTCCTATTTTAAATTCCATGCCTCGGTGGGCCCTGAGTGATTCGGAAGACCATCAGAAACCACACTGCATGTGATACCAACAACAACGCATTGCATTATTCCTCATTAGTTCTTACTATGCCCATTTCTCTCCAACCATCGGCTCAAGTGACAATGATAAGAGTAAGGAGACATGGTACTAACAACTCGTCCCTTAAACGGCCCCTCAGGAGAATTCTGAGCATACCTTCTGAAAACAGCCATTTGCATTCTGCATATTTGGAGAGCAGACATCTACTGCCCTCAGTCAGGAGATCGGAATGCACATCATTCTCATCCTCCTCCTCTCAGCAGTTACCGGGCAGTGTCGGGGGGCCAACAGCAGCATTTACTTTCCAGTGAGTTATCCAAATACCATCAGCCAGGCCTCAGCATAGGCCAGGAGAGGGTTTCCCCTCCAGCAACACAAGGCCCCCTTCCTCACCGATTCCAGCTGCTTTCAGAGTGCTGTCTTCTTTCAGCAGGAGTCTGTCGTCATCTTCCAAACTCAACACAAGTTCATTTGTCTAAAAAAAAAAAAGAAAAAGAAAATCTGCATTTTATCAGTACTTACATGGGTGTGTTCCGTGAGACTTCTCAGAGACACAGAGTTGTAACTTTGAGCACAGCAATAATCTAAGTAGATTCCACTCCCCTGGCCATAATGAGGGCAGAGAACAGAGGCACAGTGAGGTCCTGCCAAGTGCAGGCACCACGTAAAGCATTGGGGAGAGTCCTGTGGCATGGCAATGAAGTCAGATCAGGATGCAAATCCAGACTACACCAGCACTCAGCTGTGTGTTCTCAACAAGCTACACGACCTCTCTAGGACTCGATTTCCTCGTCGGTAGAAAAGGGGAGGACAGGGCTCCTTCCCCATCACCTGTGGTAAGGGTGACAGGATGGAGCATATAAATCCTCAGCAGTGCCAGCCACAGGGTGAGCACTCTCTCTTAGCTGTCACTGTTCTGTTGCTGCATCATCATCATCTTCTCCTGCCATCCTAACCTGGTCAGCGACAGAGCAGAGCTTCCAGCTCTGGCCAGTCTGACTTCTGGGAGAAGCAAGTATACTTCCTTCTTTTGTTTTGTTTTTTGAGACAGGGTCTCACTCTGTCACCTAGGCTGGAGTGCAGTGGCATGATTATGGCTCACTACAGCCTCAGTCTCCAAGGCTCAAGCAATCCTCCCATCTCCAGCCTCCTGAGTAGCTGGGACTGCATACATGTGCCACCAAGCCTAATTTTTTTTTTGTTTTTAGTAGAGACGGGGTCTCACTATATTGCCCAGTCTCATCTCGAACTCCTGAAGTCAAGTGATCCTCCCACCTTGGCCTCCCAAAATTCTGGGATTACAGGCATGAGCCACCACACCTGGCCACAAGTATACTTCAAATGGCCATAAGTCCACATATCTAAAAACCTTGCCCAAGCTAAAAAAATTTGGTTCCATGTTACATTAATTGGAATATTTATCTATGTGATTTGGGGTGGGGGTAAACAAGAGTGCTCTCCAGTGATATTTACAAATCCAGCGAGACTCCATAAATACAAGTGAAAAATTTAAAGTTGCTATCTGCCTCTAAATAGCACAAAGAGATGACCACTAGTGTCACACAGCATCACTTGTCAACCAGAACACACCTGTTTAGCAACATATTCTATTTCTAGAATACAGCTGAGACAGAGAGTCAACGGAAAGGCCTCTCAGCAGCCAAATCCGAAGCCCACGCCATGCAGGGTTCATGGACCTCATTCACTGCAGAGCACAGGGGCTTAAACTCCAGAGCACACACATTAAAAGAAAAAATACTTTACTCAAAAAATCATTTTAGAATAGGTAATACAGTCTGTAATCCCAGCACCTTGGGAGGCCAAGGCAGGAGGACTGTTTGAGCCCAGGAGTTTGAGACCAGCCTGAGCAGGATGGCAAGACCCCATCTCTACAAAAAAAAAAAAAGTTTTATTTAATTAGCTGGGTGTGGTGGCACACATCTATAGTCCCAGATACTCAGGAGGCTGAAGCAGGAAGATATCTTGATCCTGGGAGGTAGAGTTTGCAGTGAGCTGTGTTCATGCCACTGCACTCCAGCCTGAGCAACAAAGTAAGACTCTGTTTCAAAAAAAAAAAAAAAAGAATAATTTTTTTTTTATTCTTTGTATAATAACTCATTATACAAAGTTCTCCAAGCACATATGAATAGGAATTGAAAAGTCAGTCTCCTCCCAATCCCCATCCACCAGCTATCTAGTTCTCCAGAGAGGACTGGGACCACTGAGAGGCCCTATTTCCCGTACTCTCCCAACACAGTGTGTTAGCAAAGCCTTCTGATCCTTGCCAATCTGACAGGTGTGGATTAAGTATAGTCTTAATTTGTATTTTATTATGCTCAAAGTTCTGAATATTTTCTATTTTTTGATGGAGTTGTAGGCTAATTTATCCAATAGAGTTGTAGAGTCTAGAGTATCTTCATATGCTAAGGAAATTCAGCCTTTTCTGTAAGTTAGAAAAATTTCCCCCACTTTTTATTTGTTCCTTGCTTTTTCTCAGTGTTTTTTTTGTTTGTTTGTTTTGTTTTTTTTACATAGAAGGTGTTAAATGAATTTTCTTGGAATAAATAAGTTAGTGAATGAAGTAAAATGTATCAGTCTCATATTGTTTCTCAGTTTTCTGTCATATTTAGAAAGACCTTCTTCACTCCAAGATTTTTAAAATTCCATGTTCTCTTCAAATATTTTCATGAATTTCATTTTTTGAATTTTTCATCATGGAGAATTTCAAATATACAATAGATACAGAATAGTGTAATAAACCCCCTGCCCTGTACCCAGGACCCAACTTGAACAAATTATCAAGTCATGTTCCATCTGTTTCATCTCTATCCTCATCTATGGGTTTAATTTTTTAATCCAAGGGGTATTTATTTTGGCATAAAGAAAAATACACAGATTCAACTTAGCTGCTTTTTAGATGTTTATGCAGTTATTCAAGTACTATTTATTGAATCCGCCATCTTTTCTTTACAAACTTGAAATGCCATATTTACCATACATTCAATTTCCACATTGGGATCTATTTTTGAACTTTTAATTCTGTGCCCTTAAACTACCAGTTCATGTGATAGTGCCATACTGTTCTAATTACTATAGTTTTATAACATGTCTTATATGTTAGAGCTAATTACTCTCATTTCTCTTTTTCAGAGTTCTCCTGATTATTCGTATTTTTTACATACTAATTTTCAAATCAGCTTATTTAGTTTACATATAAACACAAGTATTGTGTGTTATTGGGGCAGCATTAAATATGTAAATTGAGAGAATTGATTTTGTGCTGTTGTATCTTCCTATCCAAAATATCCTAAGCATTTCTGTTTAAGTCTTATTTTGGAACTCTCATAGCAGGTTTTGTTTTGTTGTTAAGTTGAAGTACAATTTCACACTATAAAATGCACAGATCTTGAGAGGAGTTCACTTTAATGGGTCTGAAAAATTAATCCCAGAGCTTAGATTCATATTTTCAAGTGTGTGTGTGGTGAGGGGTGAGGAAGGACAGCAGCATTTTAAGTTTTCTTTTTAAAGACCCTGCACATTTCTTATAAAGTTTATTCCAGGATATGACTTCCACACATAAAATGGAAATTAAAGTTATTGCAATATCTTTAATAGAAATTATTCTAACTTTATAAACAGACCACTGATTACATCCATAATACACACATACACACACACACACACACACACACACACACACACACACACACACGAGGCTATGGTGGGAAGGTATCCAGTCAGTCTTTTTATTGTTGGAATGGGAAGAAATTTCTGAGGATATGTAGTAACTGCAATTAGGAAAGTCTCTAAGTCCAGAAAACTAGGGAAATGGGAAAAATGCCTTTTATGAATGAGTTCATTAAGACAACAGAATTATTTAGAAGTCTCTCCTTTTGGCTGATGAAGGAAATTAAAATTATAGCTGAGTTGGAACACTGACAGGCCAGGCCAGCAATGCCACAGGCCCCGCAGATGGGGAATAGAAAATGAAAGGACAACAATAACTTGGAAATGAGAAAAATGACTGTGAGCTGGATAAGGCACAAATGAGGACATGTGGATAAAGTTTCTTTGAAGTTTTAAAACTGTATCTGTGAAAATATATTGACCTCTTCCCTTAGAAAAGTTGAAGTAGAAACTTGCAGAACCATCCCCAGGGCATCTTAATTAGCATTGTTATGATTTGGATGAAAGTTTATAAAGCTAGATTCCAGAAGCACTCTAAGTGACTTAATTGTTTTGGAAATCCTCCCTTAAACAAATACATTGTTCAACTGTAAAGACAAGCCCTAATTTTATAACTAGAACCTGCCAGTGTGAAACATGTCTTAAATATAAGTAACAATTCTAAGATTGTTTTGTCTTCCAATGACAGGATAATTTCCAGATTTCTAAAAATGTTACAATACTGATAATTTGAACACGATGAACTATGTCTTCACTAAGATAAAGGAATAATTTACTACTTACTCCTTTTTGGAAACATGAGCATATGAAAAGCCAAACGATGTAAAACATGCAGCAATGAATGGAAAATGGGGACTCACTTTGCTTTACAACCTTTTCAAAGAGCATATTGTTTTAACTTTATTTTATATTTATATTTGTATTTTAAATATATTGTATATAATATATAAAAATATAAAATAGGACATTTCCTATTCTCTACATTTTAGGAATGAGGTTGAAAACATTCCTGTCCCCAAGGAGAGAAATTGGACGAAGTCCAAATACGGTGGCCATACATTCTAGTACCAATCAAAGGGGCAGATTCCATATCACAGCCCCAGACACATGTGAGCATGACATTTTGAGGCATTTCACAACGGATATTGTAAAACTGGCATATACAATCCTTGGTATAAAAAATAAAGTTACTAGAAGGAACCAACCCTACTAAACTCTTAACTTTTGCTCAGTGAAACTGATTTTGGACTTCTGACCTCCAGAATTGTGGGAGAATAAACGTGTGTTGTTTTAAGCCACAAAAAAATTTTTAAATAAATTTTAAAGCAGTTATCAATCAATGGTCAACAGACATACCCTCATGCCATTTTCTTGTGATCTGTGATACCCATTTATCGGAAAGGTGATTGAGTGTATGAAGTACAATTACGACAACAGAAGACAATGAAATAAAATGAATTCATAAGTACTTCATTCAAAAATTGTTACGGAAAAACTACTATGAGCCAGGCATTGTGCCAGGTATTGGGATATGACAAATAATATCTTGTTCTTGAGTAGTTTATGTAATACAGTAAGATTACTGCTTTAAAGAGGACTCTATAGAAGGCCACTGAGATTAAAGGGGAAAAAATCACTCTGTCTGATAATTCTTTGATTGTGGCTTCATAAAAATGTTACTCCAAAAAAGTAAAAAAACAGAAATATAAACACACAACAAACCCATACATAAACAGCTCTCTTTGGGAAAGGCAAGACAACTTCAGTATTGCAGGCCGTGGCCCTGGTGGAGCTAAAAGGTGTGCTCCCAGAGCCACAGTTTCGTGCCTTCTCTTATACCTAGCAAGAATCAAATCAGAACAAGTGAATTATTTGTGTTTGCTTCTGGCCCTTTTGTTCTGGTACAGAATTAAGAAGATAAAAGACACTGGATTGCCAGATAATAAGCAGTTTCTTTTATCTGTAAACTGAATTTACTTTTCCAAGTTTTATGCTTATTTTATGCTAAATATGTGCCTGACAAAATATGGTATACTTTTTTTTTAATTACCACTTTTTTTTAAAGGACCTATTACTAACAGGGAAATAGTTTATTTTTCTTCAATGAAAAAGCCAAGGCAGTAGAAAGGGTATCTATAAAATAAAAAGCGCTATTATAATGGGAAATATTTTAATGTACAAGTATTCATTCACTTATTCACAAATTCAACCAACATTGATTACTTGCTATGTGCCAGATACTGTACCTGTGGAACATACCTTTGATTTATGCGCTTGATGAATAATCTTTAGTGTATCTGAAAGAAAAAAGCAAGTTATCTTTTTACACAGTTTATTCTAAACTTCTTTTCAAATTATTAAAATGATTGGAGGGTGGCTATGAAATTGAGAAATGTAAGTCCTTGTTTTATAACCAGACTCACTTAGAAATATACTATATAGTAAAAGAAAAATTACTTTTGTAGGTCATTAAAATTGAAGTAAAAGATCTTTATCTTTTAAAGCCTTGGTCTTTAGACACACAGCAGTGTGTGTCAGAACTTTATGTCAACTCAGCACATTTTCTCTTAGAATGGAAGACAAGCAAATCACATTACTGTATCTTGTTTTCTGGAATCACTACAGACCAGGATTAGCAAATAATGTAAAAAAAAAAAAAAGTCTTAAAATAAACATTAGCAAAAGCATTTCAAAAAAATCTACTCAGACGAGATACAATGACAAGAGAGCAAAGGATGACACAGGTGTTGCCACTCTCAGAATTCAAACACTGTATCTAGGACCACAGGTAATCGGAACAAGGCTGCTAATGCCCCAAGAATATCAATATCTGCCTCTTGGTTTGCAAATACTGCACAGGCTCACACCATGTAATCTGCTCTATTCAAACCCAGCTTCACTCCTTAATTTGTTTATCTTGAAGTCAGGCTACACTGTGCATTTCCAGTAAGTAACTTCTCCACACTTGGGTAAAATTCTAATTCAGCAACAATCAGCCCTTAATTACATAATCTACGCAGCCATTCAACAGGTTGAAATTCAGAAAGTTTCCAATTCTTCACTCATTTTTATTTAACCATTTAATGAATGCATTATGATTACAATGTATTACTGAATAAACTCCCAACCTTACACTAAAACTCATTTCTATCAATCACGTTGTAACAAGGAATTCCAACAGTGACAGGAAATGAAAGGATCTATTTTTAAAACAGATCTTATTTAACTATGTTCTAATAATACAGAATAAGGTGGCTATCGAGATAAGAACTAGCACTCTGAATTTGCCCATTATTTTAAATAGTCAACTTTCAGTTATCCATTGCAATTCTTTTTTTTTTTTTTTTTTGAGACAGAGTCTTGCTCTGTCACCCTGGCTAGAGTACAACAGCACTATCTTGGCTCACTACAAGCTCCACCTCCCAAGTTCAAGCAACTCTCCTGCCTCAGCCTCCCGAGTAGCTGGGATTACAGGCGCCCGCCACCACGCCCGGCTAATTTTGTATTTTTAGTAAAGACAGGGTTTCACCATGTTGGCCAGGTCTCGAACTCCTGACCTCAGGTGATCCGCCCTCCTTGGCTTCCAAAGTGCTGGGATTACAGGCATGAGTCACTGCACCCGGCCTTGTAACTTTTTATACAAGGTCAACATAATCCTCAGACTATAACTCTGTATTCCTAAGAAATAAAAATAAATCTAACCTAAGTAAAATGTACATATTAGGGATGTAAATAAACCGTAATTGCTAAAAATAAGCTTAAAATGTGTGTAAGAAAATAAACAAAGCTGACTTTCAGCTTATCTAGTATTCTGAATTACCTATCATGCTCTTTTTCTTACTGTAGATACGTTTATTATTTGAGACAAGTGAGAGAAGCCAATAGTAATTTTTTAAATAACAGGAGCTCAAAGTCTGTTGCAATCAACCTGCAAAACTATAGTCTGACCTTACTAAATATTAATCCTGTTCTATATATTTTGCTAATGAGCCTTTCAACTAGAAATCCTGCTGCTCTAATAGGTTTGGCAAACACACAACTAAATGGCTACATATTTTAGCAGAAACAGAAATGTTTTGAAGAGAAGTTTTTGCCAGATTTTTCTCTCCAACAGAAAGGGGTGTGACCTGAGGAGTGGGTAAGAAAGGAGAAATGACAAAGCAGCAAAGAGATGTATTACTGTCCCTTTCTGTGTTCAATAAGTTACTTCCCTTGTTCTTGCTTCTTTCAAATCATCCTCATAATGATCACAAACAACACCTATGGGCATTGTTTTCTAAATACAAATTCCTTGAGGAAAGCAACCTCACAAAAATATCATCTTGTATTTGTGCAGCATCACACTCAGCTTTACGAAACAGAGAGGGATGAGCAGCCCACACTGTACAACAACTACATTTTTGTGTGCCCTCATGCGTCATGTCTAGGCGATAGGGATTTAAGATAAGCAGCATGCGTGGTAAATCAGTAATAGATGTGGATGCCAATTAAATGGGAGGAAGGCTCTAAGAAATCTCAGGCTCTTGGTGGCAGAGAGAACCAGCCCTTTGCCAAAGGGCAGGGAGATAGTAACAGGCAAAACCGAAATTTGACTCCACACTCTTTCCACTCCCTAATACCCAACAAAGTGCTCTGTCCCACAGACTGTGAGGTGGCAATCTCAGACTGTGAGGCAGCAATCTCGGATGACAATGACAGGCGAAAATAACACTGCAGCCTTCCTTGTTCAACAGAAAGCAGAAGATTGTTAAAGAGCCAAGTTCAGACAAAGCCACTTGAAGTCTACGAAAACTTGAGTGGTTCTAGAATTTCTTCACAGATAAATGTATTCATTTTTTCTGCCAATTCATCTGAACAGTATAGAAATACTAGGACAGAAGGATGTTAATAAGATAGAATAGCCTAAAAGGTACATTATCTACCACAATAATGCTTAGCAACTTGGATATTCTAACGCTTTCATTATCTAAAATTTCTTTCAAAAGAACTTCCATGGAACACAGCTTTGCACATAGACATATAGACACACACACACACACCCCATGAAAAAGGAAACCATATGTAACTATTCTAATTTAAAATGGCATCTGTAAGTTGATTCAAGTTTAAGGCTATATTTCAAGACATTGTATTTTGAAAGCCTTGAAAGCCACAATTGAGAAGTTTCATATTTACCTTAATCATCCTTTCTATTCCTTTCTCTTATTCAATATTGAGTATGTAAATTCTTTAAGCCCAATAAATCAAAGTACTTTCCACTCAGTGCCTTCAACTTCTGCTTCACTACCCCTTATAACCTTACAATTAGTTTCTGGATATTAAAATGCATACACACGGTGAAGACTGTGATTTCAAAGGATTTTAGGTCATAAGTTGTTCTATCAAATGAGAACAGAATGAAAAGCCACTCCAAAAAAATAATCTAAGGTAATAAAAAATTTATACTTTAAAATGTCTGCACCAATTAACAGAAATATGTATTAGGTGCATCATACCTTTCAAGTGAAGTCTCAAATTCAAAGATTGGTGAGTGTCCCTCTGCTGAAGGTTAATAACTGTGCCATCTTTATAACAAACAATGAATGACATCTAGCTTCTTGCCTTATTACTCCATTTTTAAATCATCAATTGTAACATATAAAACTACGATATAACATGCTCAAATTACTGGCATTTAAAATGTTAAATCCCTTCTTTTAATTCTTAGTCTTCAATCATTTTCCTTTTCTAATTATCTGGCAGAGAAACTCATTTTAAACATAGTTTTGCCAAACATGCTATTCTTTGCAAATATGTCACTTCCTTACTATTACAATTCATTTGCACAACATACTAGCATTCCTATATTTCTAAATAAACTTCCAAATTGGTTTTTATTTACAGATAGTCAATTCATTTTTGAAAACAAAATATGTTTGTAACAAACTAATGCAAAATTGTATTAATATATAGTTTAAAAGAATAAAAAAATGGTTACCATATTTATAATTTCTGAATGGTGGTGGCAGGCTGGTCCTTAAAGGGACATCTACAAGAGAAAGATTATTTTTATTACACAATAAGCAAATAGACACTCATGGAATATGTACAGTCTTTTGGTTCTACTCTTCTCTATCTACAGACTAAGTTACTTTGAAAAAACTGATAGAACACAGAACGAATACATCACCGAAATCCAAGAGCCATCTATATTAGTTCATTTTCATACGGCTATAAAGAAATACCCAAGACTATGTAATCTATTTAAAAAAATGTTTAATGGACTGGGGAGGCCTCACAATCATGGCAGAAAGTGAAAGAGGAGCAAAGGCACATCTAACATGGCCAGGCAAGAGGGTTTGCGCATGGGCGCTGCCCTTTATAAAACCATCAATCTCATGACACTTATTCACTATCATAAGAACAGCGTGGGAAAAACCCACCCCCATGATTCAATTACCTCCCACCAGGTCCCTCCCCTGACAGGTGGGGATTATGGGAGCTACAATGCAAGACAAGATTTGGGTAGGGATACGGACAAAGCATATCACCATCTAAAATATTAGAGTTATTGACAAGATGTTGAGCTGTTACTATTTGAACTAAGACTTTAGTAACACTATTAAAAGAATTTTTAATTTCATTAAAGACAACAGTATCTATGTATAGTTAGAATATATACTAATACACTTGTGTGAGACATATATATATAGCTGATGTTTGTTTAGCATATGAATCTGAGAACCCCTTATGGGTCTTTGACCGTTAGTGGAAACCAATGACCTGGAACAATCTTACTACTCTTACCAAAATTCATATAACCAATAAATAACTCCTCTAACTCTGCAAAGACAACAAAACAAAACACAGTAAATATTCTTTTAAAAACATATTCCAAATGCCAGTACTAATTTTGATTAATAAGATCTGCTGGTACAACACCTAACAGAGAAATGTGTGTGTGTGTGTGTGTGTGTGTGTGTGTGTGTGTGTGTGTGTGTGTATAAAAATTATATATGCATATATTCCTTGACCTAGTCATTCCACTTCAGAATGAATGAATTTATTAATTGATTGAGACAGGGTCTCATTTTGTTGCCCAGACTGGAGTGTAGTGGTGAAAACATGGCTCACTGCAGCCTTGACCTCCCAGATTCAAGTGATCCCCCTGCGTCAACCCCCAAGGTAGCTGGGATTACAAGTGCATGCCATCACGCCCAGCTATTTTTTGAATTTTTTTGTAGAGACGGGGTTTTGTCATGTTGTCCAGGCTGGTCTCAAACTCCTGAACCTAAGCAATCTGCCTGCCTTGGCCTCCCAAAGTGCTGGGATTACAGGCGTGAGCTACTGTGCCCCGCCAGAAATTATCATAGAATTATAGTATGCACACATGTGCGTGTAAAATGACATTCATAGAAGGGTATTAACTGCAGCATTGCTCACAGCAGAAAATGTTAGGAGAAGTCCAAATGTCCTTCAATTAGGTACTTGTTAAGTAAATCATAATATGCCCAAACAATGAAAAGTACTTTTCAACTGTTAAAAGAAAAAGAAGGAAGCTCTCTACTAACATGATAACATCTTCAAGTTATGTCAAGGCTAAAGAGATATGACAGAACATTATTTTTAGGATGCTACCTTTTGAGTAAAAAGGGGATGAAATGAGAATTTATGGTTGGATTTGCTTGTACTTGCTGACTGGTGGTAGGGAGGGCAGGGGGTGGTGCACTGGTCAGACAGGGACCAGAAGGGGAAAGGAGACTTTTCACTATATTCCTTTTTACATTTTGATCTTAAAACCACATGAATGTGCTATCTACTAAAGAAAACTAAAAACAAACCAAAAAATCCACATATCTAAATGAGGAAATGTGAAGGTTTTTTGAGACAGGGTCTTGCTCTGTTGCCCAGGCTGGAGTGCAGGGGCGTGATTATGCTCACAGTAGCCTTGACCTTCTGGGCTCAAGCGATCCTCCCACCTCAGCCTCCCAAGTAGCTGGGACCACAGGCACTCAGCACCATGCCCATAGTCCCGGCATTTTTTTTTTTTAATAGAGATGGGTTTCACTAGGTTGTCCAGGCTGATCTAAAATTCCTGGGCTCAAGCAATCCTCCCACCTCATCCCCAAAGTGCTGGGATTACAGGCATGAGCACCTGGTCAGGAAATGTGGGGTTTTTAAAAATGCTTTTTCAAGGTCAAATACATATCAAATTAAAATAGAATTTATTCATTTATGTCACAAGCATTTAAAGCACCTACTACCAGGTATTCCAGGAACAGAGTGAAAGAGGAGCTGCCCACTCATGACAGCGTGTGCTCCAGTGGTGAATGCTGTTAACAAAAGTACATTTCCAGCCAGTGCTACGGTCCTAGGAGTGTGGTCCTCACCCGGCTACACGTCAGAATCACCCAGCCTGGCACGAGTGGATCCAATTCACAGTAGGCTGGTCCCAGGCAGAGATATTTAAACACAAAACAAAACAAAACAAAACCAAAAAACCCTGAGATGATTCATAGTCAAATAAATTTACCCGGGGGCCAGACAGGTGACAACAGGTGAGTGAAGCAGGTCAAACAAGGAAGGGCAGTGGGATCTGAGAGCACGCGCCCATCAAAGGGGGCTCTGCCAGTCAGTGCTGACTGATCAGTGCTGTAGGAACATGCGCCTGGAGTGGCCACACTTAAAGATTTAAATGGCAGTGCTACAAGTCTAGGGTTTAGGTGAAATTTCTTGACTTTTAAAACACTATGGGCCAAAAGAAACCTCTCTGGAGGCAGGAATTGCCCTGCCAGACACCAATTTGAAATCTCTGGCTTAGGCTTACAAGAGTATACGCACTTCATTTTATTCTTCTTCTGTCTCAATCATTTGTGAATTATGGGCCAAAGAAGTATTCATTAAACATCAGAAAGGAGAATTAATTCCATTTAATGTATTGCCATTTTTATTTCCTGAATTAGACAATGAAACTCCCTGAAGAAAGCCGTGAGGTAAAGAACAGATGGCCCCATGAAGCTATTATCATTTAGAGATGTCTACGACTGAAGAAATCAAATCAGTCTTATGTTCAGTCCAGACTTTTGAGAGCAGAGACGACCAGGACACAGCATGTACCTATTCTCTTCCTGCCTTTAAATCTTGACTGAAGTGCTGCCTCCTCTGACAGCCTGCCTAAAGTGGGGGTCTTCTCTGATATTGTTACCTTCATAACAGGTTTTACAATTATAGTTTTGTCTTTTAACTTATTTTTGTCTCTATTTCCTATGAATTTATAAATTCCTGGAGATGACAACATGGGCTGTCCTCTCAAAACCTAAGACCATGTCCAGCCCATCGCAAATTAACACAAACTGGCTTCATGAGGGCAGGGACCACGGCCCGTTTTCTTCATTGTGTTGTCAGAACCTAAACTAGTGCCTGGTACACAGCATGTGCTCAAAAACATTCATGAAAGAATACATATAATTTAATGCCTACAATTGCCAGTGGAGAACACTGAGGTCTCAAGAAGTGCCTGGTCAGTCCAAGGTGTCAAGAGCTGAGATCAGAACCCAGCCCTCTCAACTCCCCTCCTGCAGCACTTAGAAGGGTGGGAACTAAAGCAGTTACCTTCCACAGTGGCAGAAAGACAGATTAGACATTAGACACACTCCGGTGAGATAAGAGCTTTAGCAAAAATGCGCATAAAGATGTCTGCAAAGGAACTAGAATAAAACAAACATGTTCCTTAAGGTAAAGGTCATTTTCAATCTTGCACTATCACAAATAAAGCTGGGAACATTCACGTGGAGGAAATTACTTTCATTCCTCACAGGCACATACTGTCATTCCACCTAGAAGTGGAATGGCTGGATCATACGCTAGGTGTACGTTTAGCTTTCTAAGAAACTGCTGGCAGAGTGCAGGGGCTCACACCTGGAATCCCAGCACTTTGGAGGGCCAAGGTAGGAGGATCGCTTAAGCCTGGGAGTTCAAGACCAGCCTGGACAACACAGCGAGACCCTGTCTCTACAAAAATAAAAATTAAAAAAAGACACACCTGTAATCCAGCACTTTGGGAGGCCAAGGTGGGTGGGTCACCTGAGGTCAAGAGTTTGAGACCAGCCTGACCAACATGGTGAAACCCCATCTCTACTAAAAATACAAAAATTAGCCAGGCGTGGTGGCACACATCTATAGTCCCAGATACTCAGGAGGCTGAGGCAGGAGAATCGCTTGAACCCAGGAGGCGGAGGTTGCAGTGAGCCGAGATCGCGCCATTGTACTTCAGCCTGGGCGACAGAGCATGACTGCGTCTCAAAAAAAAAAAAAAAAAGACATAGTGGTGTCTGTAGTCCCAGCTACTCTACTCAGGAGGCTGAAGCAGGAGAATCACTTGAACCCAGGAGTTAAGGCTGCAGTGAGCTATGATTGTACCACTGCACTCCAGCTTAGAGGAGACAAAGCAAGACTGTCTCCAAAAGAAAGGAAAGAAATAATAAATCATATTCCAAAGAGGCTGTTCCTTTTAATATTCCCCCTAGTGGTATATGAGAGTTTCAGTTCTTCCATATCCTAGTCAAAACTTGCTACAGTTACTCCTTTAAATTTCAGTCATTCTTACGGATGTGTTGTGTAATCTCATTGTGGTTTTAATTTCCGTTTCACTAAAGACTAATGATGGGTATTAATTAATGTGCTTATCTGCCATACACATGTCTTCTTCAGTGAAGTGTCCATTCAAATCTTTTGCCCGCTTTTAATTGTGTTGTGTGTCTTATAAGAGGTTTTGGTTCTGGTTTTAATTGTTATTATTCTAGATAATAGTTCCTTGTTGGATGTATGTTTTACAAATATTTTTTCCACATCCGTGGTTTGGTTTTTCATTTTTTTTCAGTATATTTTGAAAAGGAAAAGTTTTTAATTGTGCTAAAGCCCAACTGATTTTTTTTCCTTCATAGTTTGTGCTTATTGTGCTGTATTTAAGAAACTTTTACCAAAATCAAAGTCTCTAAGGTTTGTTGCTGTTTTCTTCTAGATGTTTTATAGTTTTACCTTTTACATTTA